CAATTACATGCCAAGATTATTTGCAATTCACCAAATTTTTTGAAACAAAATTTGCCTTTTATTTGACTTCTAAATTCTCATATGCTCCAACAAGCTCTTCCCATCAAGCTTGCTTGTAATAACCAACTTTATATACTCCTCATGGCTTAATGCCTTGTATTTTTCTCCCTTCTTTTCCACGAGATCATGCAACGGACCGATTTCCGTCGTAATATTTGGACTATGAAATGCAGCAATTGAAAGTCGTTCCTTCTCAAAGTCGACGACAGCTCTATGCTCAATGCTACTATATTCACCATTACTCATAATCTGCTTTCAAGCCAAATAAATGAGAATCTATCAGTCCTTTTATACTTACTATAATTACAACACTGAAAAAGACATGTTTAATATGTTAGACTGCTCATTACCTCCATGATATCACCAACATTTATGATGATGGCTCCAGGAACCGGTTTAATTGGTACCCATTTTCTTTCTTTCTTAATTTGTAAACCTTGAACTTCATTGACTTGTATCAGCAGTGTTAATCCTGTGGCATCAGAGTGTGGAGTGAGGCCAATAACTTTGTCAGCATGTATACAAGGTGGATAGTAATTCATTCTTATTCCTTGATTGCAATCTTTATACGCCTCCGTGAGTTTTTCTGGGTCTATTCCGAGATTTATAGCCATCAATGTGAAAAGCTTTATTGCAATTTTTTGCAGCTCCATCGAGTATTTCTCCAAAGTGGATCTGGCATGCACACCACATGTCAGGCAAGCATTAGTCATTAGGAAACAGAATTTGAACTTAAGAGGATTTTAATCATCTATTCTAATGTATTGCAAATAGTCGAGAGATTAAGGAATATTGAGAAAGGCGTTTCTGATTTTAGGATGGCCAAAAAAAATGAAAGTCCCAACCTGAAGGAGGCAGGAGTTTTGGGCCAGAATCTCATGTTTCTTTGAGAGGCCGGTAGAGGAAGAAGAAAGAGCATGTCGCCCCAGTCGAGTTTTTGATCTTCTGACACGACGAATGCCTGCCCATAGCCTTCAATGTTATTTGGAGTCTGTGCACAGACCATCTTCTCTCCCAGAGGAAGTTTAAAGAATTCTGAGGTGACCATCTTCATTTCTTCGATTGCCTCT